GAGAGAGAGAGAGAGAATACTCAAACCTGGTATTGAATTTAAAAAAACGAACATAACGACTCGTTCAGTCTCTGTGTATAATTAGAAATAATGTCACCTTTGAAAAGTGATCCCCCTGGAATGTATATAAAAAAGGTACGTCCTGTGTACAGCGCCTGCCATTTCCTGGTGGTTTTCTGTAACTGCGCAAAGCCTCCATTCACGCCATGTATGAGATGTCTTCTCTGCAACAAGTTTTCGCAACGGCTGGGGATCCTTAAATAAGAGATTGTTTAATCTGTCCCAAATTTTCTTTTACCAGGAAGCGTTGAGATATTTGGTTATCTTTTAATAGATGTAGGGTTTCCAGTCAAACCTGGTAATAAATCAGCGAATAAATTTGAAAACTGAACATGAGATGATCCGCTGCTTGACAATGTTAACTACGACCACATTAATTGAATTTTCTTGTTTGTTTCATCTAGAATGAGATGATTTTGTTTTAATTTTTTCCTCTTCCCAAATGTTCTTTCCTGACACTTTCAGAGAATTGTGATCCACCACCAACGCCAGACGATACCTCCCATAACGGTTGTGACGACCCCTACATACATGATGAAGAGTGTGACTACGTATGCGACGCCGGTTTCAGTAAAACCGGCGGCGACGACAGTCTGACCTGCAATGATGGAAACTGGGACGGGGAAGAACTGGAATGTAAAGGTACGTACGATTTCCTGACTGTCCTCACGTCTCAATATATGCCGTGGATGCATACATGTGATATCTCCTCTGGAAGAGGCTTTCTTTTCTTCAACGACTAGGAATCCTTGAATCACAAGCTCTTCCCTTGAGGCAAGACTTACTCACGCAGTGTTCAAATATTGGGCTATTGCTTGTACGAGGCCTTATTCAATCCCTCACGACTAAATTTTGCCCTTTTCCCAATGTTCTTCCCTGTCAGAGGATTGTCAAGTCTTTGGTATTTCCTGTTAGATGTATCATGTTGAATGTCTTTTTCAAACACTGATCCTTGACTACTAAATATCAAGATTTTCAGTCAAACGTTGCGGATTTGATAAATGAACATGAGTATGACTCATCAGGTTGATAATGTAAACGTCGACCGAATTCTGATTTGTTTTGAAACTTGTGTTTTTGGCAAGTTGTCTTCTATTCCATGTACTTCCAGAGGACTGTGGGGCACCACCAATGCCAACCGGCACCACCCATACCGGCTGTGCCGCCCCCTACATACATGATGTGGAGTGTAACTACCAATGCAAAACCGGGTACAGTAAAGACGGTGGAGACGACAAGCTGACATGTAATGATGGAAACTGGGACGGGGAGGAACTGGAATGTAAAGGTACGTGTGCCACATGAACAGTGCCTACCGTTTCCTGACGGTTCGTTAAAATTCATTTCATGTGTGTGAAATCGTCTTGAAGATGCTTGTTTTTTTTTCGGAACCGTTGGAAATTCTTAGTTTGTGTAGATTTTAGTCCCCAGACGTTGTCAAGCAAGTTTTAATAAAAGCATTAATAATATAGACTACCTACGTTGATAATATAGATTACGACAAAAGTCCTGTTTGCTTTCTGTACTTGAATAGCGTTCAACGTAGTACTAGAAAACTGTGTCCTCGGAATTTCTTTTCTATCACTCCCAGAGGACTGTACCGCACCGCCATCGGCAACCAACGCCAGTTCAAGTGGCTGTACACCCCCCTACAAACATGGTGCTGCATGTGACTACCAATGCGATGCCGGATACTCTGTAAAAAGCGGCGACCCAACGCTGACCTGCAATGATGGAAACTGGGACGGGGCCCCCCTGGTCTGTGACCCAATTACGACTCCGGCACCAAGTAAGTATCTTACAATCACTGCTGCTGTGACTATCACTGGGTTCAACTTGACACTTGGTTATAATTACAGGTATCATGTCTTAGTGCTTACCATTTACTATTATTCTATTATTAATTTTGCAACCGACGGATTGAAACCTTGAGGATGACTTATACGTTTTCGGTTATCAAATGTTCTTGTTTTTTTCCCATAGCAAAATGAAATATGAAATGTGCATATTTGCATAATGTTTGTGTAATTGATAATTACGTTGCCAGTGCATAAGATCCTGCGCCTAATCAGAGCTGCCAACTTTGAAGCATTGTTTTCGTGAAAACCAAAACAAGCTTCCTCTGGGTAAAAGTACTCATCGAATCTAAAAAGCTTTTATAGTCACTGACACGAAGCATTACTTGATTAAATAAATCAAATTAAATATATAAATTATATAAAAACATAAATTATCCGTTGTATTTTTGCAGATATGGTTTGGGGCTAGAGGTCCCTACCAATGATCAACGACTGTGAACACACCTGCGCGAACGGCATCAATAAAGAGCATTCCCTGGCCTTCTTCTAGTTATTGCAGAAAACTGAAATTGAACACGTGTAATAATCTTATTATAAGATGGCCTAAGCTGGTTAGATAAATAAAGTGAAAGCGTTACTTACATAATACATATCCCTGAAGGTTAATCAAATGTTAATTCCATTTCTAAGCTTAATTCTTAAAACAACATCTGACAGAATGAAATGCGGTCATGGAGCAAGAAGAGAGATCCCATGTTTATGCAGTGTGTTTTTGAAATGTTTACTTAAACTAGTTTTCTATGCACTATGAGAATCGAAACATCAAACACTTATTGGTACTCTTAGTCTGTGGAAATTAGTGTACATAAACCGTTACATGCGTCACTATTGCATGTCACTCCACATAAGCATCTGAAGAGAAGCTATTAGGAGTTTAGAAATGAAGGTAGACATCTAACCTATAGAGATGTATGTATTCCGAAGTTCTCCTACATGAGCAATTTCAGTCTCCTACAAGAATTGGAAGTAGGTCCAGGAAAATCCTAAGTAGATTAAGATATAGTAGACACCAGATTAAATCATATTGATACTTAATATACTTACTATATATATAATAAGTAATCTTCTATTCATCTTTTGCATGCCAGAGAAAGTTCATTTCCTTAGAAAGAGGTTCTGCATTTAGTGAACAATACATAAAACTGGAATGCTTTCTCTTAGATTACGTTTTCATTAGCTCTTTTATTCGTGTCAACTGGACACTGTAAGGCAGATTCTATTGAAGTTTGGAATTATATTCACTAACTAGATTGAAAATTTATAGCATAAAATGACCATGATACCGGTATATTAAATACCTTTAGGCTGGTCAGTTACGTACTTTAGGACAATAGGGTTACGTTTCAATACCTTAACGAGTCGATTTCTTACCTCTAAAGATTTAATAGTTCCTGTTGGTGTGACTTGGGAAAGGCGTTTGTCTTTCTAGCAATATATAGCCATGCTAGAGTGCTATATTTACTAGCTCCAATTACATAGCCATGCTAAAGTGCTAGGTTACTAGCTCAAATTACATAGACATGCTAGAGTGCTAGATTTACTAGCTCGAATTACATAGATATGCTCGAGTGCTAGATTTATTATCTCAAATTTCACTAACAAGGTCTAAAATACCAGTTTATTTGACGATTGTAGAAAAATCTACTGAAGTTTTAGTTCACTTGGTAATAAAGTGGGATTCGGGACATCGACTTGTCTGATAGTTCTTTGCGTATATGATTACACGAGGAAATTTCTTTCCTTTCTTCTTTTTTTTCTTCGCGAAGGTAAACATAATGATTCATATGTCGCTCATATATGAGGCAAATGACTATGATGATATGTCAGTTCCCCCAATCTGGGCCTCCTTTTAAACGCCAGCAGAAGACAAACCGGAGGGTAACGGTATACGTTGCACAAAACCTACTGAAGATTGTGCAATCCGTCATTTAAACACCAATAAGTACATACGTACATCGGAATTACCAAAATTATGTTGTTCTTAATTATAGAAATCCCCATGGGGCGAAACTGTGTTCTTCTACCTTGAAACCAGCCTACAGCATTTCAACATCTATGGGATAAGGATAATGTGACACCAAAGGAGACTATTCATCATACTCTTCTTGTCTTCCCAAGACAAACAAAAAAGTGTCTATTCTAAAATTAGCTGCGATTACGCTCTGCCTGGCAGAACTTCAATAGAGTGAGATTTCAATCGGCACGACAAACACTGGACAATTATCAAGAAAATTATCACAAGGCCACAAAGACAAAGGAAGTTGTGGCCTTGATGGGGTCGCCTCTATTTTGGTCTCTGCTCTGTGGCCTTCGACTGAGTAGAGCACTACAGTAATTACAATGAAAACAGTTGAAAAACTTATGTTCAGGTCTATCTGTGATTCTCTTGGGGCAGAATTTGATGTCTGTGAAAAGTTGACTCTTACGCATTCTCCACAACGTTGTAGTATTACATGTATAGATCACGGGAAAGGCGAAACGTAAGGTGTGAGGGTCAGGCTGCTGAGGTCAAGTGTCAAGTTGGGTTTCTAAAAGCAAGTGGTTCCCACTGAGACAATTTTTCACACTTTTAGCATACATGTAGCTCTGTCCATCGGGTCTGCCTTGAGATTTGTTGAACAAGATATTTTTTCGCTCTTCGTCATGATAAAAAAGCACAGCTGTGTTCTAGTTGACAGATAAGGTTGCCCTTTGACACCGATTTGAATCATTAATCATAATCTTCTTGTCTTCAGTTAATTATAATTACGCTCTATCTGACTGAACTTCAATAGACTGAGACTGAGATCAATTATCAAAAAGTCATAACAGGTCATAGAGATTTAGAAGGTGGTGACATTGAAGAGGTTGACTCTTTCTCGGTCTCTTTGGGCTTCGAATGTCTTAGAACACTACAGTAGTACAGTTAAAACAGTTGAAAAACGTATCTTTGTACATTCTCTACAACACTACTGTAGTCCATGTGTAGCCATGCAAAAATGATGCGCCTAGGTCGTTCGTACCTGGCTAGGCTGTGCTTAAAATAGCACATGGAGTCACGCGTGTCAAATCGGGTTTGTAAACAAGTGGTTGTCACCGAGACAATTTTTCATACTGTTAGCATACAATGCCATGTAGCTCTGGCCACCGACTGTTTCTTCAGATTTGTTGAACACGGCGTCCCTTCACCATTCTACATGATAAAACAAGTAAATCTGTGTAGTATGCCACGTGACGGCAAATAGATCATATCCGGTACTCTCCAAGCAGAGGTTGTGGGGTATGATCGTTACCTTTTTATATATGGCCTTTTTTTTTTGTCGCTACCCCCACCAACGTCGGTGGCCGGCGACGCCTTCTATGGCTAATAGATACTGCCTGGCCAATTTGATACTGTCTTTTTGCCACCGAAAGGGATCTGTTTGGAGATTAATATCCAGATGCCTGGCGTACCCCGTCTTGTATTAAGTTCACGAAAGCGTATGTCACCTCTTAAGGGGTGGTATAACCCCGACCAATAATTTCGACCGATGTTGATGATGATTTTGAGATCATAGCAATGACTTAGATGTATCACATGCACAGTGAAGGGGAGGGGGGTGCTCATTTCTGGCCAGTATTTCAACATTTGTGTTGTGGTAGCCTGGGTTGACGTGAGGCCATGGCCAATAGGAACCATTAATCATAATCTTCTTGTCTGTCGAGATAAAAAACAAGCAACACCTTTGCCACACCAATTACAATTACGCTCTACTAGGCTGAGCCTCTATAGACTGACATTTTGCTCCGCACGTATCACACTGACTTTTCTACCAACACGCCCCTTTTTTGAAATTGGTCAATTGGCAAGAGCGTCCACATAATACTTGAGCACGCGCGAGCGACGCGCGCCATAGCTCATTTCTGGCGCACTACTGAACTGCCAGACGGGAGAAAATTCCAGCACAATTCTACCAAAGCGTGCGGACAGCACTTCCATACCGGCAACTTCAACATGAAGTAGGTCATATTTCTGTACTTAATTTGCCTGAAGGAAACAGTTTTGTTGCACTATGTGGCAGTTGTTTACACCCATGCAACGGGGTCAAATCGTAAAGCCTCGGTCACACAACTGCGTGCAAAACGTGGGCAAATTTTGGGGATCCGTAAAGGCTTGGTCACAACCCGCTGTACGTACGTGCTTTTTGTCCGTACGTTTTTTGGGAGACTACGTCTGCTTCGTTTATTCTGAAAATGTGGGGAAGGAGTGGCGTCTACGCACGTCACGTCACTCGCACGGTTGCGCAAGGTGTAAGATTGTGGTCTGCCCGCCACGTTTGTCGTGAGCGGTTGCGTGCATCGTTCGTTGCGCAAGAGGTAAGTGAGTTGTACGTGCTTACATCGTACGATCTCTGTGCGATTGCAACTTAACCGTAAGGAGGCCGTACTCACACGAGCGTCTTTCGTACGGTACGTACGGGGCACGCGCGTCGCTCGTACTCGCACGCCCGGGTGGTGAATCCGCAGACTGCACGCAGAAAAAGTTTTACATGCACTTAAAGTTCTATGGCGTGTCTGCGTGCTCCCAAATCCGTAGGATTCCGTACGGAGGCGGTACTCACCACGCACGGATGCCCTACGTTTGCCCACGACAGCACGCAGAAGCACGTACGGCGGGTTGTGATCAGGGCTTAAGTGGCGAGTACCGCCACCGTACGGAATCCAACGGATTTGGGACCATGCAGACACGCCGTAGCGCTTAAAGAGCACAGTAAAACTTCCTCTGCGTGTGGGCTGCGGATTCACCCTCCGTACGAGCCAGTACAGGAGACGCGCGTGCCCTGCACGTACCGGTACGTACCGTACGTAATCAGCGCGGGTGAGTACGGCCTGCATACGGTCACGTGGCAATCGCTCAGAGATCGTACATTGTAAGCACGTACAACTCACCACTTGCGCAACAAACGATGCACGCAACCGCTCACGGCCAGGCGTGGCGTGCAGACCACATACTTACACCTTGCGCAACCGTGCGAGTGACGTGAGTTGACGTACTGATCATGCCAGTCCTTCCCCCCGTTTTCAGAAAACGTAGCAGACGTACGTGGCCTAAAAAAAACGTACGGACAAAAAACACGTACGGCGGGTTGTGACCGAGGCTTAACCCAGCACATGCCGTATGTTAGAGAATAACTCGTTCTTCGGTGACCTGCGGTTCGACTGAATAGGGAGTACGAGTATCCTCTACACCACAGAGTTGAGGTCACCCATTAAGTTAGGTTTGTAAACGTTAACATGTGGTTTTCAGAAAGAGACGTTCATGCCATATCATGGTGTTCCTGTAGTTCTGAAAGGTGCCACACAACTTGACGTTTAAATCATTTGTGATAAAGGTTCGGCTAAGCAAGACGTTGTATGTGAGGGTATGAGTAATCTCCAAGCAGATCTTTT